CATTTCTATCTGGAAATAAATGTTAACCCATGTGGAAAAGAGATGATAGGCTACTGATTAAATTCTTAGGTGGTACTGCACTGTGGGCTTCTGGGCATCATAAAACATGTTTATTGCAAGACTTTCATTAAACAAAATATATTGTGAACTGTTTTGTCCTGTACATACCTTATCTCCTCAGAATAATGTTCAAAACTACTTAGGATCAAGGATATGTTATGCAGTAAAAGCAAATTGATTTCAGTAGCTTTTGGAGAACATTCAACTCACAACTGACAGTGAGAACATGGCCAAAGATACTTGTAAGCCCTTTTCGAGATTCTAAACTGTGCACTGATAACTGAACATTCATGTGTTTGAATGAAAACTACTTAGGATTAAAATTGGATATCTCTGTGGGCTGACATTACACAAACGTGAAAGAGTATTGTATGATTGCTATACCAGATGGCCTACTTAGGAAGATGATCCATGAACAAAAAATAAACTCATTATCCAATTAAAATGGGGGATTTCTGAATCCTCTGATCCAGAATATGACTTTGGCTTGGTGCTTACATAGAATAGATGGACGGCTGGACTTTGAGTCATTCAGGGCCTATTAGCTGTGTTTGATGATCATAATGGCTGAGCTTGTTTGAGGAGGGACATTAATAGGTGATGGAGCTTGTTATGCTTAAGGCTTTATGACAGCAGCAGCAAATGTTATCTTCCAATCTTATTAAATAGTGTGTGATAATTTTATCATAATAAAACAAAACCAGACAAGATGATTGTAGGAATTGCAAAAAGGGGATGTCCCCGAAATATGCATACCAGCCGTTCCCAGCTTGTCACTTTGAACTGAAAGTTTCATAGATTTGCATTTACAAGGGACCAACTATAATTAAATTAGGTAAGCAATATTCAACAAGCCAGTGTGATGTAATAGTTAAGGCATCAGGCTAGACACCTGGAAACTGTGATCTCTAGTCCCGCCATAGGCACAAAGGCAGCAGGATAATCAAGGATCAATCATTCCCTCTCAGCCCTATGAAGCTGGCAGTGGCAAACCACTTCTGAAATCATGCCAAAAAAACCACAGGAATTTGTCCAGGCAATTGCCAGGAGTCAACAGTGACTCAAAGCAACCAAAATCAAAAACCCCATCAAACAAGTGTTTTAAAATGTTCACTTTGTTCTTGTTGCATCTCTGTTCCAAATAGCTTATACACAATGCATATTGTGTATCCATTCCATTTGTCTTTACAAAATTTCTGTGAGACAAGGTTTTGATGGCTGTACAGTAGTCCCCATTCAACAACACTAATTAGCACCGAGAACTCCATCATTATATGACAATTATTGACACTATCATAAGTGAAAAAACCTTGTGACATCAGGTTGGCAAAGGTTGGCATACATATTTTATGTAGTCCTTGTTGCTGTTAAGTAGCAATAGCACTTAAGACTTTCCGTGCTTTATAGCCCTCTCTAAGCGGTTTCGTGTCAGCAAATTGCTCCAGCAATCTGGGTCCTTATTTTACCGGCCTCGGAAGGATGGAAGACTGTCAGCCATGAGCCTGTCAGGATTGAATTGCTGGCAGTTTGCAGAATTAGCCTGCAATATTGCATTCTAACCACTGTGCCACCATGGCTTTCATGTAACTTGCAACTTCCTGCTAGCTTCCCCGTTGACTTTGCTTATGGGGAAGCCAGCAGGAAAGATCATAAACTACAGTGATGTGACTGCAGGAAACTGCTAGTCAGAAGTGCAGACTGGTTGTTGAACACCCAAAACACAATCACATGACCAAAAGAATGCTGAAATGGCCACATCTTCAAGGATCCATTGCATGTGCTACTCATTTAGTGTCATCTTAGATCACTGAATGAGTGATCATTAAATGAAGGCCACCTATGACATTTTGAAAATGGGCTTCTCTTATTCTAATCAATAGTTTAGCCCCACCTTCCTCTTTGCACTGTGTTATGCCTGCAATTGATGGAATTCCCAACCAATATGAGAAGAATTAGGTTAGGAAATGCTATGCAGTTGGCACTTTCACTTTTCACATAGCATGCACTATTTAGTTGTGTTAAAAATGAGGAATTAAACCTATCAGGAGACCTTATCCTTGACTGTTTAGCTAGGACTGGGAGGAAGCATAATACAGAAACCTCTAGAAGGATTGCTCATCCTAATTTATATCAGGGCTTAAGTTTTCATGGCATGGTTCATAGCGAACATCACTATTTTTTTTATTTAGGCAAAAAAAATTTTTTACAAGACATGATTGCTAGAGTAATTGCATCCTTCATCAGTGGTCACTCTACCTACGTTACAGAATTATAGCGTACAACAAATTCAACCATCACAAACAATGGGAAAAGATGTTGGAGGTGGAGACTAGCAACATCTGATGGACAAAAACCTCCCCCTAGTCAAGATGCTGGAGATGTAACTCCTGAATGTTGCCTGAACTGTTGCATAAAAGACAACATATATGCTGTGATCCTAACAGCAGGATTTAGTATGCAGAGGAAATGTGAGAGCTTAAACTGATTCATCTCAGAGATGATAGAGGACACTTAGCAGAAATCCTGTTGCTATTCTGGTGAACATCAGCTAAAAGGTATCAAGTGCAGAAAAGAACAAGGTATAAAAGGGCAACATCTAGCAAGGAAAGGTTGGAGAATCTGTAATGTTTTGGTATTTAGACATATTGGTAATGGGAATATATGGCAAAGGAGGATAAAATCATATATACTACTTAGGGAGAAAGAAATTTGGACTTCCATTGCTATAAAAATTAAAACTTGGGTTCACCAAATAAAACTGACTGGTAAGCAATTCAAGACAATATTGTATTAATATCATCCTGATTTCTATCTATGAAAAATAAAGATAGCATCTATGTTCTCCTGACAAGAGCTTCATGCTAAGACAAATATTCTCATATTATGAAAATACCTGCCTAGGAAGATGTTAACAGATATAGAGACATAATATGTTAAATTTTCATCATCTGTTTAGAGAACTACCATTCAGATTTTCCATGATTCTTAATGGTAGGATCTCTTCTCTTTAAAATAACAATGCTGCCACCTAATGGCCACTAATGCAAGAGCTTTGCCAAACCCTTTGGTAGAAAAACTGTCCTTGAATAGCAACACAAGGAGTTTAAACAAGTTAAAGACTATGGGGAACCTAGCATTTTCTCATCCATCACTTAGAACCAAAGGGGGTGGGGTGGGGGGAATCCAGTTTTTTTCATAATGAGATATACCAATGTATAAAAACTGTTCACAGACCAACTCTTTTACTGATTTTAGTACACAAAAAGGAATGGACTTTCACCATTCCAGGTGAACAAGTGAAATTGCCGTGCGACATGGATGAAATACATTCATCTTAAATCAGACTATCTAGCTTCAGATGAACCATCTTTTTGGACTGGAACGTCTGGTTTCCAATTTTAATGAAAGAATCACCTTTTTAGAGAGGCACAGATCTTACTCTCTTCTTTCATGTACAGTGTCATAGGAGAATGTAAGTTGGAAGTTCCAGGAAAAGGATACATGAATTCCATTCATATTTTACTTACAAAAGCAGAAATACACAAAACGTTCTGCCTGTTAAATAAAGGACCATCTAGCCCAGTGGTGACCAAGTATAGTAACTTTACACATGCTGGCTCAGGAATTCTGGGAGTTGCCACACTAATCTAGCCCAATATTATCAGCACTGATGAATGATGACATTTGGGCCAGTTGTCCAGTTTTGTTCTGGAGATGCTGCAGGTTTAATTTGGAGTTCTTACGCACATGGCATGATCCTTATTGCCAATTTGCAGCCATTTCCATGCATGGTTTAGCAGCAATTAGGTTGCTTACATCCATATTCCTTAATAAATTACCAAAGGTGACAGAGGTTTGCTGATTACTTGCAAAAATATTTTGGAACAATTTTCAAGCAGAGACTGAGAAAGATACATGACACTGTACATGGAAATCTGGGGAGTGGAAGAAGAAAAGACAAAAGAAGAAGAAATGCATACTGCAGTGTCATAAATGCAAAAGTCTACTCCTTCTGCATCTGGTTCATTACATTGCTTTCAAGTATGTAAGGGATGAAGCTTGCTTTATGTCGACATTATACACATTTCATCGCGTTGACAAAATCTTGGTTTTTCTGTACTCTTGGCACTTTATCATTGTTTGCTGAAAATTTTAATTGTACGTTAGGGAGCAATGTTTGAATAATTAACCTTGCAAATTTTTCTTCTGAGGGTGCTACAGTATTCTGTGGAACAATGCTGCTTTTAAAAAAATGATTCTGGAGAAGTGCTGAACCTCATCATAGCATCTTTCCTTTATGCTACTAATTACAATTTTATTTAGGTTCCTGTAAAAGTCTAAAAGATGTGGCTACTTTAGTAGAGATATTGCACTTACATCCTAAAGCACTTCTTCTGAATAATTTTTGAAAAATGCAATCAGTATTTCAGAGGAATTATCCATCAATAGTTTCAGCAAGTGGTATCATATGGTTGATATCTACACTTAGAAGCAAAGTAAGGTCAGGCCTAATTAGTACTTAAATAGCTCAGTAGGGAATACCAGGGTTTAGGTCAAGGCAGGGAAGTTTTAAAAAAAAAAATCCCAGGAGGCAAGACAACGGAAAATTACTTCTACTGTATAATGCTGAGAGGAAAACTACACCTCATCGGTTTTCTTTTTGTTTTAATAAATTGGTACCAAGAAATGAGAGTTCCTCAACTGCTATTTTCTAAAAATGCATATTATATATAGATATGCATATAAGTTCTTCATTCACATGGCTACTTTTAAGCAGGATGTCCTCTAGAAATGTTGACATTTCAAGAATTCCCAGCCAGCTTGCCTATAGAAATACACAACGAATGAATCATGCGGCATTTAAGAAATTCCTTGTATCCTGCATCAAATAAAATTTCAGGTTGTACAATGAATACATTCTCTCCACGACCTAAGATCACATAACCCAAAGTCTATTTATAGAACATGCCATGAAACTTTAACAATGAAGCATTAATTTCTTTATTCCTTATTTTAATTTATCAAATGTTAACATGCTACCTGTAAACAATCTGCATAAAAAAATGACTGTTAGAGACCAAGCATTTTAACTTGAATGATGCAGTGGTTAGTCTCTTCTTAATGGAAAGCTTTCTTCTTTAATTCCATCTTTTGTGATAATGCAGATCTTTAGTGCATCTCCTGTATAAACATCTCTTTCTGCAGCAGAAATGAAGACATCTTTTACCAGCTGCAAAGCCTTTTCCAAGGACAAAGGCAATTGTCTAGCACCCTCCATGTTCTTGAGGCCAACCTTTTAAAAAGAAAAAAAAACATTTTAAATACTGATGATGTTACCTAGTTAGGGTAATTAAACATTTGCAAGAAAACAAGCAAGCTCAGACAGCACCAAAGACCCCACATTTTAAATGCTTTATAGCAGAGGTCTCCAAACTTGGCAACTTTAAGACTTGTGGACTTCAACTCCCAGAATTTTATGCTGGCTGAGGAATTCTGGGAGTTGAAGTCCACAAGTCTTAAAGTTGCCAAGTTTGGGGACCCCTGCTTTATAGCTTGGTAGAACAAGTCTGTGTTGATTAGAAAAGTCATGATTCAGCATTACATTATAACAATTTCATCTGAATGTAGCAAATCAACATACTGCAACAGCAAAGATGTTCTTATCATTTAAATAAAAGTAGCGTTCAGATCAGTGAGAAGTATCAAGAGGGATGAAGCTGCACTTGTACATGAGCAGACTTCCAATGTCCATGGCTGAACACAGCTGATTAGATTGCAGTGCGGTTTTGTAGGAACACTCACACACATTCTACCCAAATAGAAATGATTGTCCTCTCATTTATTCACAGAGAACCTGTCAGGAATTGCACAGCTGGTGTCCAAATGGAGTCAGAGACACTGAGACCAACCAATATTATATAAAATAAATATATGTAAATAAGGTAGGCAAACGGGAGCATCAACAGAGAAAGAACATCAGGAGGTAAATCACAGAAAGCACACACAGGAAAAAAGGTGGGAAACAAGGAAATTCTCTCTTTTCACTCACAGCAACCAATCACAGCTCAGATTCCCTCATGCAGTGGCCAGCTCTCTTCAACCAATAAACTATAACTCTGTGTTCTTACTCATTGTCCAATGAAAAATACACAAGCTATTAAATTTTAAGTGTCTTAACAAAACCTAAAACTAGTAGGCAAGAGAGAGAAACCAAGTTGTACAAAACTTCAATCTAGGCTTATAAGGCTCATTTTAAACTGCCATAAGCAGAGTTGCAACAAAATGTCAGTGGTTATGAATTTACTTTTCTTATTCCTACATTGTTTTCACATTGTGGCTTAAGGTGATGGATCCTTTCATCTTTTGAAAAATTATTTTGATAGCTCCCAAATAATTTCAAGTATTTTAGAAAGAGTTAAGGCTCCAGATGTCACTATATCAATACATGCACAATAATGGAAGAAGATTTACCTGATTGTCCAGCAGAGGTTGCAGCATGGCACTCGCTGATCCACCAGCTTTGAAACTATCTCTCTGGTAGGATCCTACTGGATCAAAACTGTATACTGCACCTTTCCCTAGAAAAGTAAATAAAATACATTTAAAGCAATGTCAAATGCTGGAATAAGGGGATTTGACAGTTAAGTGCAGTGCAATAAAATTGATTCAAAATGATAACCACTAATAAAATGAGGACACAGTACAAAATAATGAACCAGGTTAAACCACCTAATGCAAACGGAAAGATTTGTGTTTCCTAGACAGAACTTTAGTTTAAACAGAACTTTATTTAACCTGCATTTTAACAGGTATATCTATTTAGCAGGTGTAATGTATTAGAATAGGTATGACCCCTAACTGATTGCAACATAAAATGCATATAAATCTAAATAAATAAATAAAAATTTTCCACTATGTAAAAAGTATAAAGTCTGTAACATATTTCCCAAAATTTTGCTACAGAATGTTTATTGTAAATGGAGAAATGAAACAATATTTGTATTTGCTTCTTTTCTTAATAAACATAATCACTATGAGTGATTTCCCCCACAAAAATTTTAAATTAAAGACTGGTAACAATAGCTAAGAGCATATACTAAATGCTTACTATTCAGTGATGAATATTAAATATTTCTACCTATTATTTTAGATTTTTTGCAGTCTAGATTTTCTTGGTTTACAAAATAAAAAAATAATTGGTTCCAAACAGGAATCATATTGATAGAAAGAAAATTTTGATTCTGTGCTTGTGGATATGTAACAATTAAAAATGGAAATCTTTGTTCCTTGTTCAGACTTCTTCTTTGGGCCCCTTGCAGGACATAACACTGCAAGGAGTTCTTCAAACTTAGAAGAGGCTTTTCAGGAGAGACAAGCCGAGGATAAAAGCCAGCTGCACTTGTCTGTTGAATGCTTGTCTTTTGATCCAACCTTATATTTGTTTGTTTGAATTGTATGTTTAGAAAGATGAAACACTCCTAATAAAAAACAATCCTTCCTTTGAGAATTGAACATAAATAACCAAAGAGGGTTTTTTGCCCCAGTTTAAATTCCAAAAAATTTAACCTATTCCACTATGGAATAAGTTCAAATGAACCTGTTTAAATATCAGAGGACTGCACTTTAACCACCAACTGTGATTCATACCACAGTAGAAAACTATTATGGTGAAACCATATGCTCTACTAAAGATTTACACATTTATCAATATGCAATTACTATCCTGAGATTTACATGTTTGGGGAATAAATTTAAGTAATCTTTACATTATAGCATACGTGCTAAACCAAATACTGCCATATTCATATTAAAATACAATCCACATCAGAAAGATTTTACTATTGACATAGTAATTTCAGAATCATATTGTAAGAATTCCTTTATTTTCCCACTTAAAGCTATTATCCAATATCTCAAGGGAGGTGATTTCCTTGCACTTTTACACTAATCCAAACAGAACTTTACCTTCCTCATCCAATCCACCAATTATGTTGTACACATAATAAGGGAAGAAGCGTCGGGAGTACAGGATTGTAGAAAGCATGGCTGCAATTGCGCCTGAACTCATGATCTTGTTATTGGAATGCTTGTACATCTGGAACATATTTACAACAGAAGCAAGTAAATGTTATTGCTAAAGTTGTTCCCAACACAAATTAAGCAGCAAGCTACCCACTGAAAAAAATATAACACAATGAAAAAAGCACTCATTTGCTGTAACCAGGAAAAATAACCAAACTCATTAATGAAAAAATTAATAAAGCTGATTATTATACTGCACCCTCCAAGTCAGATTAATTTTCTTCTTTTGCTACAGCTATCACTGAATTTCTAATTTTGGTTACAAATTCAACTCTTATATACAAGTTTGCAATGAGCTTTTCTAACACCCATGACCACTCATTATTACGTTTCCTACATTTCACTTATGCAACCAAGGTTAACAACAAAAAGAATGCAGCAAATTATTTTTGTGACTTCCACTACCTTTTAACAAACACTATACAAGTGAAATATATTCTAGCATCTTCCTTAAGGAAACATTCATTTGAATGCTACATGGCAATAGATCTATTAACAATTTATAGAATAATAAACCAAATACACTGCTCAAAAAAATAAAGGGAACACTTAAACAACACAATGTAACTCCAAGTCAATCACACTTCTGTGAAATCAAACTGTCCACTTAGGTAGCAACACTGATTGACAATCAATTTCACACGCTGTTGTGGAAAGCATAGGCAGTTAGCAAGACATCCCCAATAAAGGAGTGGTTCTGCAGGTGGTGACCACAGATCACTTGTCAGTTCCTATGCTTTCTGGCTGATGGTTTGGTCACTTTTGAATGCTGCTGGTGCTTTCACTCTGATGGTAACATGAGATGGAGTCTACAACCCACACAAGTGCTCAGATAGTATAGCTCATCCAGGATGGCACATCAATGCAAGCTGTGGCAAGAAGGTTTGCTGTGTCTGTCAGCGTAGTGTCCAGAGCATGGAGGCGCTACCAGGAGACAGGCCAGTTCATCAGGAGATGTGGAGGAGGCCGTAGAAGGGCAACAACCCAGCTTCAGGACCACTACCTCCACCTTTGTGCAAGGAGGGACAGGGGGAGCACTGCCAGAGCCCTGCAAAATGACCTCCAGCAGGCCACAAATGTGCATGTGGCTGCTCAAATGGTCAGAAACAGACTCCTTGAGGCTGGTATGAGGGCCTGACGTCCACAGTGCAGGTTGTGCTTACAGCCCAACACCATGCAGGACCTTTGGCATTTGCCAGAGAACACCAAGATTGGCAAATTCGCCATTGGCGCCCTGTGCTCTTCACAGATGAAAGCAGGTTCACACTGAGCACATGTGACAGACCTGAGAGGGACTGGAGACGCCATGAACATTCTGCAACATCCTCCAGCATGACTGGTTTGGCAGTGGGTCAGTAATGGTGTGGGGTGGCATTTCTTTAGGGGGCCGCACAGCCCTCCATGTGCTCACCACAGGAAGCCTGACTGCCATTAGGTACTGAGATGAGATCCTCAGACCCCTTGTGAGACCATATGCTGGTCCGGTTGGCCCTGGGTTCCTCCTAATGCAAGACAAAGCTAGGCCTCATGTGGCTGGAGTGTGTCAGCAGTTCCTGCAAGATGAAGGCATTGATGCTATGGACTGGCCCGCCCGTTCCCTAGACCTGAATCCAATTGAGCACATCTGGGACATCAGGTCTCACTCCATCCACCAACTCCACTTTGCACCACAGACTGCCCAGGAGGTGGGGGATGCTTTAGTCCAGGTGTGGGAGGAGATCCCTCAGGAGACCACCCACCTCATCAGGAGCATGCCCAGGCATTGTAGGGAGGTCATACAGGCACGTGGAGGCCACACACACTACTGAGCCTCATTCTGACTTGTTTTAAGGACATTACATCAAAGTTGGATCAGCCTGTAGTGTTTTTTCCCACTTTAATTTTGAGTGTAACTCCAAATCCAGACCTCCATGGATTGCTAAATTTAATTTCCATTGATAATTTTTGTGTGATTTTGTTGTCAGCATATTCAACTATGTAATGAACAAAGTATTTAATAAGAGTATATCGTTCATTCAGATCTAGGATGTCTTATTTTTGTGTTCCCTTTATTTTTTTTGAGCAGTGTAGTTTACAGAATATAAAAGATGAAACTTGGGGAAAAGAACAGTAAGAAATCTTGTCCCAAAGGTGCTTTTTTGTTTTAGGAAAAACAAAGTCCAGTTGCCTTTGGAAAAAGCACCTTTGGGATACTCATGACATGGATGACCGAGAATCTCCACAGAACAGACATTTGTTTTGGATATTTTCTGGTTTTTTATATATATATATTGTGTTTTTTACTGTGATGCAAATTATATGTAAATTAACACTAGCAAAAAAGTTGTCTTATGTAACAGTCTGAGCAAGCAGAAATGCAGAATTCATTATATGTACAGGGATGAAACAGAGATTTAAGTGCTAAATATCAAAGAGAGGGCTGTGAACACTCATATAAATCTAAGTACTATTGCTAAATTAATATAGCAAATGAGTACAATTTCACCACTAAGCCAAATACAATAACTTACCTTCAATCTTGCCTCAAGGATTTTAGTAAGGGTAAGACAGTCTCCATGAAATCCACTGCAGCCAATAACTGTTGTATCTGTCCTGTACAAACACAGTATTGATAAGATTGTAAGTAATTTTGACAGACTACAACAATATATTTTCCTAGGGTTATTTTATTTGCATATTTACATACTGCAATAATCGATGTCAAATGTGAATTCCTCCTGTTTAAATTTTCATAAACCATTGGAGAATGTTTACTACTTACAATTCTAGAACTAAAAGTTGGCTTTGGACTCAAGTGCTATGATTCTACGCAAACAGGATCTGTGTTCACTAAAGTGTGGTGACCACAAAGTGTGAACGTGTATATATAGTTCACAATACGCCATTATAGGATTATACTTACACACAGTGTGATTCTATTTATTTACTTTGATGGCTTAGGAGGGAGGGGTTGACCAACTTTATTGATTGTATGTTCACTGGCAACTACCATTCATTTATTCATTAGAGTCATCAAAATGATTCTGGGTGATGACCAAAATTAACAAATTGGTGGTATCATCATGAATTTTTCATAATATTTTTGATATGTAATACTATATGTGCGGGGTGCTGAAACCTGTCATTTCAAGCCCTTTGATGAAAGAATACACTTTACTTGGAGAAGCTGAAAAATGTATTATCCTAATAGAAGTATTAAAACAGGCTGTCAAGTAAAGCATCTTATTTTATGTAACATTATTCGATTTAACAGATAAATTTAATATCAGATTGTTTTAACACAATTTTAGTATTTTGACATAAAAATAAAATTTTAATGGGTTTGTTCCAGATATGACTAAGTCTGTATCGAACTCATCAAAATATCTACCACTTTAAACTTACAGTTTATAACATTTAGGGCTCTCCCGGCTATGAATGGCATAGTCTTCACTCAGTCGGGTATCTGATGCGACAACAACAAAATCTTCACCAGCAATTGCCAATATGGTCCTAAGCAAAAAAAATATTATTTTTTGTAATTGTTTAGCCTTCATTCGTTTAAATTACTCTGAAATCTTAAAATTTGAGCATTTTACCTTCAGCTGTGCATTTTTTACTTTTTTCAAAAACATAAGAGGATTATACTCAGGGGCTCATAGCCATAAAATGAAAAAAAAATCTGTGGCTTCAGTCAGACTTCAATAGCTTTGGAAAAGCTGGGGCAACACTTCCCAATGATGATACATATGAGCACACAGTATGAGCTAGGGAGAAGAGGGTTGCCTCAAAAACGTTTACTTTTTAGAAACAGCAGGGAACTTCTCCACCACTCATCCTATACAAAGATAGTTCTAAGTATCCATTTCTCACTCAAGTTGGTAAGAAACTGTTATTCCAATTTGCCACAAGTATGCATGGATGGAGATTTCAGGATCACATTGCACACTTATGCCCCAAGATGCCCTCTTTTAGTTTAGATGCTAGATGCTATTTAATTAACTTGGAAGATTTCCCTAGTATTTTTATCCACATTTAAAAATTACTGAATACACTAAGAAGGCAAGCTTTTAAGGAAAACTGTTGCCTTTCTTTTAAAATGTACGTGTAATATTTAAAGCTCCTAATATTTGGGGTTCCCAAGTAAGCTGGATAAAGAACAAGAAGCAGCCTATAAGAAAACTGAAGGTGGAATCTGAAGCAGGATAAAACACTGCTGCAAATAAAAACTATTAGTCAGTTTCCAAAAGGCAAACAAAAACTACCTTACACTCTTACTTTGTGCATTAATATTTGTGCCAAGGAAGCTTCCCTTGGAGAGTTATAACTATTTAGGAACTTGTAAATCAAAAGCAAAAACTTGTGCTAGCTTTAGAAAATCACTTTTGAATTATAGCTCTGGCACGAGATAATTTCAACCAGTTGCTACTGGAAATTCAGCCTTGCTTAAAATTCTGGGTCACCTTTGGAAGAATCCTTACATTTAATGCACCACCAAACCCCCCTGTTATGCTCTGCTGCTGCTTCTAACGTCAAGGTAAATTAGCCTTTGTGGCTCTGATGATCCTGTTGAGTTTTACCACCCTTTGTATCCATTTAGTTAGAAGCCACATCAGGGTTTATAGATTCAGATTTACAGAGTTGGAAGGAACCCTGTAGGTCATCTAGTCCAACCCGCTGCCCAAGCAGGAGACCCTACACCATTTCTGACTAAATGGCGGTCCAATCACAAGTTTTTAAGTTATGAAAGAAACACGAGCTTGAAGAAAAAAAAACAATACAATTGTTGTTTTCCTACTTCGCAGGGAGATGAGAAAAAGAAACTAAAACCACTGGGGAGAGAATGCTTTGTCGAAAGGCAGGATCGGTCTTAAAGAGAGAGGAAGTATCCAAAGAAAAGCACCCAATGAAGCGCTTACCCGCCATTGAAAGTATACGGAGAGAAGCGATGTTGCACCGCAGAGCTCTGCCTAACCTCTCTAGGCAACCCGAACACAGGTTCAGCGAAAGCAGCGGCCGACAACATCCTTGCTCCAAATCCACCGGTTCCCCCGCTTGCTTGCTGTCTCACGGCAAGATGGCGGAAGCGGAAGCGGAAGCGGCTAATGTCGCCGTCACAGCGCCCCCTCTGACGAGGCGGGGAATGAAAAAGCTCAATTGGAAGGGGAGGCTGCAGGAAAGGTTCTCCGGTTGCGCGTCCGAGACGCGGGACCTTTTTAACGACAGGGCAAGTCCCGTGAAAGTTGGGTTTGCACAACTCGCGTGGCTGAAGCGTCGTTGGCTGGTGGTATGAACGCAGCTAACTGCTTAGAGAGGGCTGTAAGGCACTGTGAAGCGGTATATAAGTCTAAGTGCTATGGCTAATCTCTGGAGATCTTGCTGGCTCAAAGCTGTGAAGATCACGGTTGAGGAGGACGGCGTCAGCCAGGGTAAAATCGAACTGGGCATAATTAGAGAAGAGAGTATTTTTTGAAAAAGAGGACACGCACCCGGGAATCGTTTCCAGTCTTTCCAGCAATTGTTGGACTGTGAATTAAAAACGATGCCATATCTCTCCAGGATGGGGATCAGGGCACGGAGGGCTGGACTAGAAGACCTCCAAAGGTCCCTTTCAACCCTATTGTTACTATGTTGTAAGAGATGGCTGGCATGTAGGCATTCCTTAATGCTTGTGGTAAACTATTGGAATAAAATGAGCAAAAAATGGAAATTATCCCAGGGAAAATTCAACTGATGGTGTATATGGCAGACTTCAACTGATTCATTACTTTTGTTAGAAATTCTTGAAATCTGCATTTTGAAATTAGAACACGGGAATTGCTGATAGAAAATTCATACAATAGGCAGAACTAAGTCACACCATAGCTTTTCTGAACACTGAAAGGCAGCCTGCCTATGGAGTACAGGTACTCCTCAACTTATGACCACAATTGAGACCAAAATTTCTGTTGGTAAATGAGACATTTAAATTAGTTTTGCTCCATTTTCTTGCCACAGTTAAGTGAATCACTGCAGTTCATAAATTAGTAACCCAGTTGCTAAGCAAATCTGGCTTCCCCATTAATTTGATTTAAGGGGCGTGCATAAGTGCACCATCATGCCTACTGTCTCTGTCCTATTGTCCCCATTAATTCGTACCTATTTCCTGTATTCTTACTCATGTTTATACTTATACCTATTATTTTGTAAGTGATTGACAAATCAAATAAATAAATAAAATAAATAAATTTTGCTTGTCAGAAGGTCCTAAAAGAGGATCAGATGACCTCTGGATGCTGAAACGGTCATAAATATACTTGCCAAGCATGGGAAATCTGGTCATGTGATCACGGGGAATGCTGCAAAGATTGTAACTGAAAAACGGTCCTATGTCTCATTTTTCAATGCTGGTGTAACAATGCTATGGTCACTAAAAGAAATGTTGTAAGTCGAGGACTACTTGCAGAGAGAGGAGCAGTTCTAGCTGCCTGTCCTGCGGGATCTTTTCATATTTTGTCCTCCCCTTCATTGATCCCTTAAACTGCGTTTTAGCAGCCTCGTTGCACTTGGACAGTCAAATGGCATTTAGAAACTGGAGGGATTGGCTGATGTTTTTTTTTCCCCCTCCATGTTTATCTTTTAAGTCAGGGGTCCCCAAACTTGGCAACTTTTAAGACTTGTGGACTTCAATTCCCAGAATTCTGGGAGTTAAAAGTCCACAAGTCTTAAAGTTGCCATGTTTGGAGAGCTCTGTTTTAAGCCATCGTTTTTCTTAAACTGATGCCTCCCGTCCCGTCCCCTCCCTTGCATGAATCAATGTATGATTCTCATTAGGCCCAATATATTGGCTGGGGTAGGGCGCGACGCTGCAAAGGACTTCTTCCCAAAGGCACAACTTCAGAAGGCGGCTCTCACGCTCTCGCTGCCGCCCTTAAGAAATGTGGCGGCCGCAGTTAACTGCTGGGGAAGGTTACCCGCGACTGGCTTGATGACGCAGAAGAGATGCGCCGCCGGATGAGGCAAGCGCGGGGGGCACGGCTCAGGTCGGGAGAACTTCTGGAGCGGTAAGTCTCCGGGCCCGGCACCGCTGCGCCTTTACTTCTGGCGGGAGCGGGGCGGGGGGACTCAAGTCCGCCGGTCTCGGGCCCCGAGAGTGGGACTTATTTAGGGGGCTTCCTCAAAAGCGGAGGAGGTCTGCCCCCCCCAAAACGGTTGCAAACGCTTAAGCTCCCGGTCACTCGGGACGTGGAGTCAGCGTGTCCGTTGAGTGTTGCCTGGGGGTTGAGCCGCTGCGCCGCTTCAAAGGGAAACCTCAGGAAAGGGCGCTTTGCTTTCTCTTCCCTCTCCTCCCCCCTCCCCCGTTTTTTTTTCCGCTGCCAAAGTGCCAACCTTGAAGAGTCAATGCAATTGGTGTTCCCTGTAACTCCTCGGGTAGCGGTGGTATATTCACACAGACCGATCCCTGGGCATGGGTTGTGTGAAAACATTGCATCCCTCTGTCCCGTAGGGCTGATTTGCAAGATTTGCACGCCCGGGAAAGAATATCCCTGGGCTGAACAAAGAGGTGTACTAGAATAGGTAGGAATATGTGTCTCTTTGAAGAACTCATTCGGGGTAATTTAAATGGATTTTTTTAAAAAAAAAAGTTTTTATTTTTTAAGACAAACATATACAAACAAAACAAACACATAAAACCATCTTCCATTCTTTGTACATACAGTGTGTCAGTTGGTTACAAATCTTTTGTGCTGTCCTTCTGTAGTCATTACTCACAATTTATATCAATTTTCACATTGTCCAACTCATTTAAATGGATTTTTCAAGCTCTCTTGAGATGGTTGAGAGGCTTTGGCTAACGCGGATTGATGGTGTGGGCTCTTAAGAATGGGATCGTTTTTGCAGTTTTAGACTTTGCCCTTATGCAAAGTCACCCCATATTTAGGTGGCGATGTCTGTAACAAGGCTTATTCAAAACTTGGTGAGAGTCCTGCTACGGTTGAGAAATTTTCTCTGAAGTGGAGCTCTGGACCTCTGTTCCAAAATTATTCCCTTAATGGCCCCAATAGCCATGAGCTTGTTTTCAGTAGCTCTATACTAGTTCAAGTGCTTAAATGTACAGGGATCGACCTAGCAACAAAATCAGGTAATGTTTTTACATTGTTCTAAACGTAGTAATAGTAAAGGAATTTTTGAAGTTCAGTGTATCAGACAAATCTGCTTGATGCCTTTGAGAACCACCCATTTGCAATTTCCCTCCTAAATGCACTTCAAAGATGTGGAGGTATTTATAGGCATCATATGCCCCACTCAAGCTTATTATAGTCATGCTAGCATCTGTCTGTGGTGGCCTATTTGTATTGGGGAGGAAAGAAAAATCTTAAACCACTTCTGCAATCTGCTATACATTACAGACATTCTTGTTACCCTCTTACAGTATTTTAGAAATCACTGCAAAGAATTGGTCAAAATGTAGAGACTCTGGAAAATGAAGGAATTAGTTTTCACCAGTGAGCTTAGTCCTGCTTTGTTTTCTCATGAAACTGAGAATAATCATAAATTTACATATTTTAAATGTAGAGGAACTGTAAACTTAATTGTGGCAGTTTACTATTTGCTGTGATTTTATTTGTGTTGATAAAAGCTGGAGAAATAGATGAGATTTCTTAATCCCGTTTATACTGCTCACATATTAGTTTAAATATTAATATCAGTGTATACATTCTTCCAAATATTGATAAAATGTAACCAAAGTGTAACAACTCTTGTTTATTGTTCAGTGCTCTGCATGTATAAATTCTATGGTTAATGTTGCTTATAGACACAAAATACATAAACCACAAAACAGGATATATGTCCTTTTAAATTTAGAATGTTTTGCTGATGCGTCAGTGGTATTTTCTGAGCTTGGATGTTTTCTTGCAAAGGTTTCATTATCCAAACTGTGGATAACTGTGTTGGTGGGTGTGGTCTTGGGGGATCTTTGGTTAAGCCCTTTAGTGTTACCTTATTTGGCATTTCCTTGATTGGGGTATTGATTACTTCTTGATTGTTGGTTTGATGTTAATCTTGGTGTTAATCTATGCTGTTCAGGGTACTGATTGCTGGCGGGGAAGTATTTTGGTCTTTTTTCCTTGTGATTGGTTAAGACTTATTGTCATAGTTTCAACAGGGAAACCGATCATCCTAGACCAAGCCAAGTCTGATAATGCCAGAGAATTCTTAGAAGCCTGGCATTCTAACAAATTGGCCCTCAATAGACACAAACAACATCTACATGTGTGCAAAAGAGACAGTCAACAAGCCAAAAAGGGAACAAAAAACCCAAACACCTCCCCAACATCAATCATCACTCTGATGAGCACAGATTAACACTAACATCAGACCAACAAGCAACAAGTAAACAATACCACAATCAAGGAACTGCCAAACAAGATAACAGTGAAAAACTCAAATAAAGAACCTCCAAGACCACTCCCACCAACAGTGCATGCAACTAGAATATAAATTGAGAGCAAACTCTAGACTGGTTCTGATGAGGTTTAGTTTGGGTAAGGAAACGTCTGCAAAAAAACAAGCAAGCTCAGAGGACACCAAGGACCCCTCATTTCAAGCCTGAGCCACAAATATTCTCCTTTATTAGAAAATTTGTTTGTCACATCTTCTTGTTCACTTTTGACAGGTAGGATATTTAGAGCTAATCTATTCTGATTACAATTTTTGCAGGTAAAAATTCTTACAGAAAGATAATTTCTTAAGTATTGATTTATGTTTTTAGCTACATAATTTTATATTATTGAAGGTATGTATCCAATTCAATAAGCATTAAATTTTATTTTTCATTTTCACTACTGTATTGTTAAATCATAATTCTTAAAATAAATGACTCCTCCTAGTAGTCGGAATGACCATTAGTGTAACTTGGCTTCCCAAGTGGGGATGACTAAACAAAGTATAGGATTTTTGGTTTATTTAGTGTGTGCAAATAGAGAAGTCTTGTGCTACTTTTATAACAAATTAGAATTTGATAACCATGCTCTTGATTTTTTTATAACTTGTTCTTGGTGGGAGAAATTAACAAGGATCCTCTTTTCCATTTGTGCTAAATATGCAATGAAAGGAGATTTCATGGATTCTTTATCACCAGCTAAAAGGAATACCACAAAGAGACTGACTGAACTAGTCATGGTAAGCTAGAATTCTTCAGAATACTAGCTAAGAGTGACATATAGATGAGTTATTTAATCGAACTATGTACAGTAATCCAAAGGCCTGGTTAAATGATTCTTGTTTATTAAAATGGTGTTAGAATCTTAAGAGTAGGATGGATCCACATAGGCCATTGATCAATTCATGATTTGTGCAGGAATTCAAATCTAATAATCTCCAATCATTGGTTATTTAGGTTCATCTTAAAATACATTTAGTGAAGAGAATCAGCAGTTTCTCTGGCAGTTTTCCAGTTGAGCTGTTCTTATTGTTAGGAAGGTTTTGTAAGTTAAAATCAGTCTGTTATTCTATGTGCAGTATTCTGGACTACTAAGTCTTAATTTTTTTTATCTGTGGTGTACTTCCAGGTTTTTGAAGAGTAGTAGTATTGTTTTGTAGTCCTCATAGCTCCTTCAATCTTTCTTTATTAGTCTTAATACTAGCCTTGAATCATTCTTATTATGCTTCTGTAAAGCAATTTTAATCAGTCTAAATCGGTGATGGTGAACCTTTTCGGCACTGAGTGCTGAAATGGGAGTGCGCATATGTGCTGGAAACTGGAAGAGCAGTTTCCTGGCACGCAGGAGCACCGGAAACTGGAAGCTCAGTTTCCCGGCGCGCCAACTGCCTGGTTTTACAGTTTCTAACGTGCATGTACACATGAAGACTGGCTGGTCAGTGCATACATTTGTGCCGGGAGCTCCTCTTCCAGGTTCTGGTGTTCCTGTGTGCGCAAGACCTGCTGACCAGCAGGCACATGTGTGCTGTGGAGCTACTTTTCTGGTTTCCGGCGTTCCAATGCATGGAAAGACCAGCTGGCTGGTGCGCATGTGCGCTGGAATCCAGAAGAGCAACGGGCATCAGTTGGTGTGCCTGGAAAGATGGCTCTGCATGCCACTTTGGCATGCATGCCATAGGTTCACCATATGGGTCATATGAAATCAAAGTGGAGGTTACCTTGTACAGAATAAAATATGAAGAACACTTACTTACCTTTGGTTACTACATTTCTAAAAATGCACACTCAATATCAGGCCTGCCCATGAGCTGCATGTGGCCCTCTGGACAATTAGCAAGGTGGCTCCACAAAATCATAAAACTTTTCACCTTATTATGTTATTTATATACATTAATTATATTGTTTTATATGTGGCCCATGACAATTCCCCTTCACTTAATGCAACCTAGGCAAACCAAAAGGGTGGGCACCATGCTCAATATTCATTTGCCCCTTTTGCTGCTATATTTATTTCTTCTTTCTAGATTGAATCAGTCTTGGGATTGAATCAGTAGCAAAAAATACAATCCTTCAGATCAGCAGTGGTTCAATGTGTTCTGGGAGTGATCTAACACCAAAGAATGCCAGAACAACATGTCTTGTAACAGTTACTGCTAAGAATATTTTGATATCTTGTTTTATTCAGCCTTTGCATTAAGCTCTTATCAATTACTTGGAGTGAACAGGCATTAACTTATGAGCCAGTGTTTCTTTATTTTTTTGTAATTGAAAATCATCCAATAAAACAAACCCTCCCTCTCTATATTTTTGTCTTTAAAAGTATTATACATATTTGGGAAGAAATAATTATAGTTGCATAGTCAAGGAATGACTAGGTTCCCATTCCAATGAAGCCCCATTTTTAGATATTTATCATCCTATTTGCTATTTGTACTTTTGGAGCTGCTTGCGTAAAATTATAGTGCCGACTTAACACAGTACCTGTGGACTCATTGTCAAGAACCTTTTTTACTATAATCAGTTTTCAAAATGTTAATAGAAGTAGTGTGAATAGTACCTCTTGTATTTTTCACTAAACCAGTTTTTAGCCACTAATCCATTTTTGTAAGCCATTGAGTAGTCCTGAACATGAGGAGATGGGAGCTGAGGTGGGGAACACACTCTGTCTTGGCAGACAATAAGCTGAGGCAACAATTTGAGGCAATATGCAGGCTTGGTGAATGGAGGGAAGTTGCAACAGGCTACCTCCATGAAACACGATCCGAGAATCACTGCTATTAAATCGCTGGCACAAAGTAAAAACTAACAATATTTTGTTTTACCCAGCTTTGGATATGTTTACCTCTCCTTGATAAGGTTTCTTCTTGCCTTATATAGATACTTTGCCTCCAGTCACTCACATATCCATTTGAATGGAAACATTAGTGTGACGGTCCTGATTTTTCTGAGCCATTTTCTAGATAAATGTATGCAAAGAAAATGGGTGTATGCAGTGATATAAGTGAAAGGACTAGGCAAGATTCTTTCTGTCTAGAAATTTGCTTCAAGAAAAGGTAGATGACTTTTCTGTGTGAAATAAAAAATGGGACAAAACTAATTTAAGTATTTTTAATTTACTCAGTAAGTTTTGTTTTGTTTTCTTTTATTAGGAATTTACTTCATCTTCATCATAGGTTGTTTTGTTTTGTTTGTTCTTCTTTAATAGTTACAATGGAATATAAAAGAAACAAGCTGTGACAAGCTGATTTGCTGTTGCTTGTTATGGTTCCAAAATGTAACTATAAATTATTCCTTAATTCAGGACATTACTAAGGCAGGAAAAAGAAATTAAAAGTTAAATGTTTGTTCTATGTGTATACTCTTTGTTTTCAAAGTTGGCTCAAGTGGGTAATAAATTCCTTTTTTTGCCCATTTTCTGGGGAAAAAAGCCTGCCACGAACAGGTACTTTCCTTGTGTACTTTTTGCTATAATTTTAAATGTTATACTGCACTAATATATTTATTTAAGTGAAAGCTTCAAAGGTAAGATTTATCATTGCAGATTTTTAATTCATATTTTGTTATTTAACTATATTTATGTAACTAATTTCTGAATCCCATGCCTGTGGCGCTGGAAACAGCAACAGATAACATTAATTCATCTGTGAAAAATAGTTACCACAACACAACAATAATGTACGCTATGAATTTTACTTGAATACAGTAGTGTGAGATTTCTTTTCTTTTTCAGGTCTGGAATCTTTATTTTATATACTTGATGTTTTATCAAATATGTCAATACAGACAGCAAACTAGTTTTGGGGATGCTTTACGGAAAGCTACTGCCTTAAAGTAGATGTTGTGAAGCTTGATTCCTGGATTTAATTTCTGGAAGAAGTTCTCATTTGATTGGACGCTTGATTGCTACAATGGATCAAAACAACAGTATACCATCTTACGCTCAGGGCTTAGCATCCCCACAGGTAAAAATATACTAAACTAATGAACTTATTGAAAAACAAAACTTTCAAAACAGTTTTTAGAGACCTTCAGTGTTGTGGACTCCATATTTTTTTTACCTTCCTTTGCTGTTTCTTTTCCTTGAATTTTAAAACAGTCGTGTTTATAACCTCTCTGTACCTCAATACTAGATTGGTTGCTACTTGCCATACCAGCTTCTGCAGGTTAAGACAAGTTTCTATCTTTTCAATGGCATCAGTGATGGATATTAAGGCAGTAAGAACTGTTTTATTGTTATACAATTTTCACTATTGAAACTCCTGGCATGAACAGAACAGTAATTGCCTAACAGACTAATTCTTTATTTGCCTGAAATATATATGCGGACATATTTCTTGATTTTGTCCCTCAATATTTAGCCTTTTCAACCTTCTTATTGGAGCCAGAACAAAAAGCATTTTCTCCTTTATTATTTGTATTTTTTCCAATAGTTTTATTTTAATCAAATAAAACTAATTAAAAATGTAATACAAACGTACATTAAAAAAGAAAAAAAGTGAGATAATCCCTCCCAAACAACTTAAACAATAGTTTTTTTTAAAAAAGGAAACGTCTTCCTTCATCACCAGCAAGTGTTATTTAGCATTAACAGCTTATCATTGTCTTAAAATATAATCAAATACATCTTCATTCCATACTTCAAGCCCTTTTCTATTATCTCTAAGTCTTCAGCCTTCCTTATCCAATCAACAGAGGACCAATAACAAATGCCCCAAATATCTAATAACATAGCAATAGCACTTAGACTTATATACCGCTTTGTAGTGCTTTCCAGCCCTCTCTGAGTGGTTTACAGAGTCAGCATATTGCCCCCCAACAATCTGGGTCCTCATTTTATTCACCTCGGAAGGATGGAAGGCTGAGTCAACCTGGAGCCTGGTGGGATTCGATCTGCCAAATTGCAGTAGGAGTAGCTATAATATCCCTTTCCATATAGTCTGAATCCCCTAAAATCTATATTTTGTTTCATTCTGTGTGTTGAGAGTGTTCTCCTCTAATTGTAATCTTGTCTGGAGAGGAATTATCAAAAAGCTAGTTTGCTCACTGGCTCTTCATTCCACTGCAATTGTCAGATCCACTTTTTCTAGACCAGTCTTCAGTTCATTTCTTCCCCAAAGTCCCTTTCACAGTTCAATTTTTGTGACCCACTAGAATACTTTTAAATTGTGCTACTTAATTTGTCACAAAACCATCCAGTTTTACTAACCCAATGAATTATTGAATATGTGCATAAATTCTAAATGAACAGTGTAATGTGAATGGCCCCTTTTCATTTATCTGGGCAGTGTTCTTGCTAGCTTCAACTTTGGAAATATTTATTTTAAAGATATTGCAGGATTACTTAAAGAGTATCTGGTAAAATCAAATTTTGATTGTGATATTTATGAATTAATTATTTAGTTTGATCCAAAATATGGTGGCAAAGGAGCTTGGTGAATATTCATCTACGCCATATTATAACTTGAACAAAAACGGCTGAGTTGGTTATTCAGAAGAAAATAGCTGTACAATTAAACTTGCTGCCAATATAAATATACATTGGATTGCAGTTGCGTTTTGTGAGCCATGATGGTGCAATAGTTAGAATGCAATATTGCAGGCAATTGTGCCAACTGTCGGCAGTTCAATTCCCACCGGTTCAAGGTTGACTCAGCCTTCCATCTTTCTGGGGTTGATAAAATGAGGACCCAGGTTGGGCAATATGGTGACACTGAAAACTGCTTAGAGAGGGCTGTAAAGCACCATGAAGCAGTATGTGTCTTATTGCTATTACTTATTGCTATGATCTCCAGAATAAAGCAGTTGTCCTTTAAATAATTCTGTGCATTCCTAATCTTGTTCATGATAGCTCATGTATGTTGCAGACTTTAACTTTTCAAAATTGTATTCATTTTGTAGAGTGCAACGACTCCAGGCATCCCTATTTTTAGTCCTATGATGCCCTATGGCACTGGGCTCACACCTCAACCTGCTCAGAGTACCAACAGTTTATCTATCCTGGAAGAACAACAGAGACAGCAGCAGCAACAAGCAGCAGCACAACAGTCCACTTCACAACCAACACAAGCAGCATCTGGTCAAACCCCACAGCTCTTCCACTCACAGACTTTTACAACGGCTCCTTTACCAGGAACTACACCGCTCTACACCTCTCCCATGACTCCCATGACCCCCATAACGCCTGCCACCCCTGCTTCCGAAAGCTCTGGGATTGTACCGCAGCTGCAGTAAGTGCAGACTCCACTCTGCTCACAAATCCTGTACAGGTAGCCCTTGACTTAACAGGAGTTTGTTTAGTGACCAAAGTTACGACGACACCCCCAAAATGGTGACTGATGAATGTTTTTCACAGTTACGACTGTCACGGCACCCCCATCATCACGTGATCAAAATTCAGATGCTTGGCAACCGGTTTATACTTATGACCATTGCTGTGTCGTTCCAAGGTCACATGATCCCCTTTTTGTCACCTGACCAGCAAAGTCAATGGGGAATCCAGATTCATTTAACAACCGTGTGACTAACTTAACAAATGCAATGATCCACTTAACAACTGTGGCAAAAAGTTGGTAAAATGGGAAAAACTTGCTTAACAAATGTTTCACTTAGCAACATAAATGTTCGGCTCAATTGTGGTTGTAACCTGAGGACTACCTGTACTTTAACTATGGTACATTTTAAGGGGGAATTCTATATTAATATATTTTAGAGCATGGTGGTCAAACCTACATTCTGAGTTCATGCTGCCAAGTGGCTATGTTTCAATGACATGTTGCTGTGTTGAATGCGTGACAAGGCCTTTGAAGAGCAGGTACCTTGCAGGCACTTACTCAGAATGCCAGTGCATTAAGTTGGATTGAAAAATACTTTCTTTCAGTTGTTTAAAAATTTTTTGGTGTCTCTGAGGCAGGAATGGGATTCAAATTTTTTAACAACTGATTCTGTGGGTGTGGCTAGGTGGGCATGGCTAGGTGGGCATGGCCATGTGACTGGGTGTGCATGGGTTTTTGTTTTGTTTTTTGCACACACACACACCCCGTGCTCCATTTTTGGGCCTCAGGGAAGCCTCCTGGGGGGCATTTTTGCTGCCAGGAAGCTTTCCTAAGGCCCAGGAAGGCAAAAAACGGAGTGCCTCATGCCCTTTTTTGCCTCCAAGGCCTCAGGGAAGCCTCCTGGGTGAAGCAGTAAGACAGTGAGGGGGATCCTGGCACAGCTGATCGTCAGCACAGCTGATCGTTGGGAGAAAAAAAAAAGAAATACCTTAAGGAGTGACTGGGTGGAGGAGAATGCATGGGCATGCATGTGATGTCACGTATGCATGATTAGGACTAATTGAGCAGGGAGGGGAGGGGCCAGCCAGGGGCACGATTTGCCGGTTCTCCGAACTGCACAGAATCCTAACAACCAGTTCTATAGAACTGCTCCGAACTGCTAGAATCCCACCTCTGCTCTGAAGTTTTTTAGTATAGATTTTTACTGGTATTGTGGCTTGTAACTAATGCTCACAAGGTTACTCTTGTAATCAGTTTTTGTAGAGTGGCTTTATTTGAAGCTTTTAAGGTTACCTAATATATCTCTAAATTCTCTCCAGGAATATTGTATCTACAGTAAATCTTGGTTGCAAACTTGACCTAAAAACCATTGCCCTTCGTGCTCGAAATGCTGAATACAATCCCAAGGTAAAATATAATGGAGAGGTGACAACTAATGTTACATTAATCAGTGATGATTGTTTGCTATTTTTGCTTCTGATAGCTCATGTGACTTGTTTCATTTACTGCAAAGGAGATTTCTGAGTATGCTTTTTATATGTAGCCAAGAAAAAGATCTTTGGGGCTGCATAGTAGCCTTAAAGAACAATAACACTAACCATTCGTGTTATGTCAAACCATTTTATACTAAAAACTTGGCAAAATATATAAGCATTTGTTGTGGTTTTGAAAAAATGAAAGGTAAAATTTGATAGAACTACTAGATCCCATCTCTAGTTGGCCATAAAAAATGGTTTACAAAGCTGGCTGGGTTCATACCTCATGCCAAGCAACCTACAAGCTTTGCAATTAAACAAAAATTTTACAAAGTAATGAAGTATTACAGGAAAACAAGTAACTGTTTTCACTTCAGCATTTCACTGAGCCGCAGTGGTGCAGTGGTTAGAGTGCAGTACTGCAGGCAGCTTCTGCTAACTGCTAGCTGCCTGCAATGTGGCAGTTTGAATTTCACCAGGCTCAGGATTGACTCAGCCTTCCATCCTTCCAAGGTCAGTAAAATGAGGACCCAGGTTGTTGGGGGCAATAAGCTGATTCTCTAAACCCATTTAGAGAGGGCTGTAAAAAGTACTGTGGAGCGGTATATAAGTCTAAACGCTATTGCTATTCATAAAGCAGTCTCTTCTAGAATTAATTTGATGACAAAGTACTGTCTATTCTACTTGAATTCAAACCAAACTTACTCCAATGTTTTGAGAAATGTGTTTTCCATAAACAAACAAAATTAACTAATATATTTATTATATTAAATTGTATTTGTAACTTTAGATATTTTCATATTTTTTTGAAGTGAAGAATGGAGATTAATGCAACTTCAGCTTACTAACTAATGAACGTTTAGGGATTTATTCACTTTGGTAGTTACAAAAGTGTTTGTTCTTTGTGTTTCAGCGTTTTGCTGCTGTAATTATGAGAATAAGAGAGCCACGTACCACAGCTCTCATATTCAGCTCTGGAAAAATGGTGTGCACAGGAGCTAAAAGGTATACAAACGAAAGCAATTGTCTGCAGCCATTTAGCTTATTAGCATTTGGCCTAACAGATATGGCCATTTGACACAGGTAATCTGTTAAAGGCCAGCTAATAGGTATATAATGTACAAACTGTATGTATATCATTCAGAGTTTCCTTGCTGAAATACAATGCATCTTATATTTTTTCAGTGAAGAGCAATCCAGGCTGGCTGCGAGAAAGTATGCTAGAGTTGTACAGAAGTTGGGCTTTCCTGCAAAATTCTTGGATTTTAAAATTCAAAATATGGTTGGTAGTTGTGATGTAAAATTCCCTATTAGACTTGAGGGATTGGTTCTTACTCATCAACAATTTAGCAGGTAGGCTACAAAATTCTGTTATCTTAAATGTTTTCTTTTGTGTTTCTCAATTTTATTTTAAATGTCTCATAGTTCTGAGTCATTTATATATTTCTGTGAATGCAAAAGAGGGGCAGTAATAAACAATTCTTATATATCTTTGATGTATAGATAATTTCAAACAATTGTAAATGTGTACAGTTCTTTAACATTATGTGCTTTCTTCAATACTGAAACAAAAAAAAGCTTTTTTATTTGAACAAAAAATTAATCATCTGCTGGTATGTATTAGTGTAGTATGTATTAGTGTAATTTAAATCCTTAAGAGTAGTAATGGAAAGTAGATAGGATACATTGCTAACTGAGCAACTATATAAAAGTGAAAACTGAATTTCACACTAGCCCAGCCTCTTCAAAATGTTCTTGGCCTTACAGTATAAAATTGAAAATAGTTCAATAATTCTTATGTAGAGTCTAGTATAGTTTGCCTGAAACGTTTCTATTGAGGAATTACACTAATAATGAAAAAGAACAGATAGGCCCTAGGGTACGTAAGACATGACTTAATAGCATCTCAGCTTAATCCACATGTGGCAGAAGGAAAAATGCATTTCTATTTCTGAGCACATGCTTTGATCAATCTACATTAGCTTTACATTTTATTTATACTGAACTTTTCTTTCAGTTATGAACCAGAATTGTTTCCTGGTTTAATCTACAGAATGATCAAACCAAGAATTGTACTGCTCATATTTGTTTCTGGAAAAGTAGTTTTAACTGGTAAGCTGTATTTGAAATTACTGCACTGACTGTAGCAAACTGAAAGATACCTGAGAAAGATTTCAAATAGCTAATTAACAAATACAAATATATTAATGCATTGGTTTGTGCCTTTATTGTACTTTATTATAATTTACTATTTGCATTTTTAGCCAAATATTTTTATTTGTTTTGTAGTGTTAACATGTTGCAGCAATTAAATGTGTTAATGTGCCTTTAAAGATCATTCAGAAAATTCAGTTGGTACAAAATACAGCCATGTCACATGCTAACTGGTGCTGGATGCATGAACATCCTACTCCTGTGCTACAGGCCCAGCCTTGGCTGCCTGTAAATTTCCAGGTGCAATTTAGAACACAAGCTTTGTCTGATGAAGTCCTATATGGCTTGGTGCTGCAGGACCTGTAGGATTGCCTCTTTCAACAGAATCCAATTGTTGATAGCTCCCCACTGCCATGGAATTGAGGAGATGCTTTTCTGTTAGGGCTTCTGTTTTGTGGAATAGACTTCCACTATCCGGTGGCCTTAAAAACTCTTCCAGCGGTTTTTTAACTAGCGCCCTAGGAATTGTTCATGTATTGCTCCAGTTTAAAATAAAAGTTAAGGATTGTTTTATCACCAGATAGTAATGATGAGGGCATGGGTTACTGCCAGAGGTCCTCCTATGGAGTCCAGATTAAGACTCCCAACTGTTCTATCAGCTGAGCAAAAGCTCTTATAAATTTGGTGCACTGGTTTGAATTATGAGCAATTTCCACATACAATTAGTTAATGCTTTCTTAAGAAAATTAGAAAACTAATGATATTGGTAGCCACAGAATCTCTGTTCATAGTGGTTAAATATACTCTTTCTTTTTAGGTGCAAAAGTCAGAGGTGAAATTTATGAAGCATTTGAAAATATTTATCCTATTTTGAAAGGATTCAGAAAAACGACGTAACAGTTCCGTGTGCTTATTCATGAAGCTGGAGCACATTTTTAAAGGTATTGATTATGGCACAGCAGTAACACACATATCAGGACTTGGAATATTTTCCCAGATAGTGCCTCTTTCCCTGTTTTTCACGGGAAGGGAACATATCGTTGTGTGTTTCGTCTGCACTAAGTTACTGTGCATTGCTTCACCATGTTCTCACAAAAGAAAAACTGAGCTTATTTATATTTCTGGCTCTTAAAATGGCTAATTTTAAAAATCTGAGTCTTATGCTGACAAGCTGGCTAAACCGTATTATCCAACATTTAAAACTCTGGAGTTACTTACAGTATTCTTTCAACCATGGATTTTATAACGAGAAACGTTAATTTTATGCTTTTAGACCTACTTCCACATTCCCTACATTTCCAGTGTTCAGCAGGACAGAAACTTTGCTAGTGAAGACAGATGGCTGTATATATTTCTGATTTGTGAAGCAATTCTAAATGTATAATTACTTGACTAATTTGAATAGTAAAATTTGTGGTCAATTTTTGCTTTTGCTGTTTTAATGTGCTAATTGCATGCATATAGCTAAAATAACTTGATTTTTATAAGATTTTTATTAACAATCCAGTATTAAAGTAATGTTTTGCCATTTCAGTTATTTTTGTGTTGTTTCTTAGTAGTGTTTTACTTGGAGGTCCTTATCTCCAAGAGGACTTACAGCTACAGTATAACATTTTCCTTCTAGTATTAAGAGGAAGAATGTGTTAATGATAGAAATAGCTTTGTTTCTAATTGCTTTTTTCCACGATCAGAAAAAAAGAACATGAAGCAGACCAGGTGCTGTACTAGAAGGGAACATGAATTCTGTACATCCAGAACCCTCATGTCAACTTATCCCACCCATACTACTGTATTCCTATTAGGTTGGGGTGGAGAGGGATTTATACATATTTAAGTACCAAAGAAAAAAAGTATTTCTTCCTCATCCCTCTCCTATAAAGCAAGTAGGTGAGTTTCAAATATAATTTATCTTCAAATTCCTTCCTTCCTTCCTACCTACCTACCTACCTACCTACCTACCATGGTCAATTCCTGTAGAAGAGGTTGAACCATTCAATACCAAAATGACAAGACTTTTATCTCCATTTTATTTTTAGTGTGAATTGATTGATAATTTCAATGAGTGATTTCAGACCACAGCCATTGAAAGGATGGGATGTACTGTATTCAGAAATATACATAGCTTATTTCAATTTTTATTGAATTACATTGTAAATTATCATGGAAACTTTGAACTCAAAAGTAAAGCTACCTGTCTATTTGTACTTCAAGTCTATCCCCATTGGTTTATTTCTACTGCAACAACAAATATCCATTATTCATTTTGTGACTTGTCAGCTATAAGCCAACCAATTTCTTAATGGAAACAACCTTTTCCAACAAGTTGAATGTGAAAATTCTAGACTCTTGAATGAGTGAATGTCTCCTCAGATATGAGCAGCATATTCCAGCCAACATACTGAAGAGTATTATTTTTAAAAAATGCTTTGTTTGCCTTTTTACTCACCTGTATGTTTCAAAAATGTTAATCTTTTATTTCCATTTCTCACCAAAGAAACTAAAGAATCGGTTCCTGGATGGGATGATCCCGCTATAGTGTTCCATAGTTATATAATGGAATAAACACTGGATTCCATATTTCTAATTTTATTCCATTGCCAAAGCTTTCCTGGTTGATTAAATTATACTGTATTTCAAAGTAATTAGTTCTTTGAATCAGACTATATTACCATTACTTATATTCTACTTCAGGATATAAATCATTCCTAAGGTGGCACCCAAAATGAGCACAATGAAAAATAAGTGATGAGGATCTCTCCTTCAAAGCAACCAATGGTAATGGTTATGGGACAGGAACAAATTCTCCTAAAGCAAATTCTGACAGGCTCTTAAGATCTTTCACCAAGGGTGGCAGTGGGAATGCTCTCAGGAATGAGCGGAAGAAAATAAACATTGGAAACAATTCATTTATCACATGATTCTTTATTATAGTGAATCTATCACATCGTGGCTTATCATTTGATTTTGTTTTCACTTCAAAGTTCTAGTAAAATAATTCTCTAGTCTCATGGCAATCATTGTTACCAACTTGAACATAAAAGGTGAGAAAATTTTATGATTCAGAAGAAATTATCTCACAGCCTAAGCTACGCGTAAATTAAACAGAATTGGAAATGTCCTGCTTCCAGATGAACTCTTCAACATAGTGGTTTCCTAGATCACAATTCACAGCACATGTGTAGATAGCCAATGTTCCCCAATCAATGCTTTCTCCAAGGCTGTCGACATTTAAGTGAGCTAGAAGCTGTGGCATCACCTAAACAGACAAAATATTGTATGTGAGTTTTTAAAACTAAGTGGTCAAATCACTTCATAACCAGAAAACTCAGTATAGTATTGTATTACCAATTTTTTAAAACATGCAAGAGAAAAGTAGGCAAACAGAGAAATTATGTTAAAAACAGCTTTATGGCCTTTTATGTGCACTCCTGCCAAACATCCATACCTGGAATTCAAATATTCTTTTACTACCACACTGACAGCTGGGAATATCTGTGTCCTGAGGAATATTTAATCCTGAAATCCAGATGGGCCCTTCTCCATATCTGCAGTATCTGATAACCTGAAATTCAAGAACCAGAATTGAGAAAATAAAATTATGTAGATTTTATAGTACGTATCACATGGACTAAGAGATGATTCTTCTCTCTTTCAATTGAAAGAAGTATCTTTTATTAAATGCCCATTTCTATGTATTATGTAATTACCAAAGGTGCAGGATTGTGTGAAGCATGCTTCCACTAAAGTGATTATCATCTCAGTAGTTTTCCTCCAAACCTGTTCTAGTTTCTACGCCATTGTAAAGGGTTAATAAGCACATCACCATCTTGCATTCTACCCTTCTATGTGCATGGCTAAACAATCATGTGATTATGGAGCATCTGCTATTATCTATAAAAGCCTTACTTTGAAACAAAGGCTTTTTAGATTTTAGATTCCAATTTCAGCAAATGGACATGACAACCAGTCCCAAGAGTGCATGATTCACATAACTTCCTTTCTTGGTTAAGATATTGTTGAATGATGAGGCATAGTATGCAAACATTTGTTAACCTTACCATTGATTTAGCATGTGGTGAATATGGCCTTTGTCTTACTAGTATTTCCATGCAGAATGGTACTAAAAGCTTAATTCCCAACATCCAACTCTTAGCTTTGATTTAGTTTGTTGCTAGTCTCCATCTAAACATTTTGGCAGCACAAAATAGAAAATGAATTCAAAGTGACAAAATTCTGGGCTGGATTATTCATATCCCATTCACATACTAATAAATCAGTATAAAGCATTAATGGACATGAATAATACATTTAAAATACCTGTTCTGGTTCCAAAGATATTCTTTCTTTGAATATTTGAAAAATTCTGTCATCCTGAGTTTCATGTTTTGCCATCATCTCCAAGGACATCTCTGATAATTCAGAAGCTTCATCTGGGGGGAAAAAGCATGAAGTGTTTAAGTTGTAATGCTTAAATATTGTAAAGGATGGTTTTGGCTCAGTCTCTCAGGGATGAGTAAGTATTCATGAAATTTGATCTTTAAAAACCTATCAACAATGAAAAAATATTGTGTCCATCTTAGAAGGTTGCAAAAAAAAGAGGAGAGAATGAGATCTGCATTGTGCAGAGCAAGACTGCAAATTGATGTTCAAGAGTTTCCTCTTTTCATCTGAACTGGGATAGGAGAATTTGGTGGTACTTTTTAAAACCAATGCTAAATCCATCTTACAGTTTCTGTTACAGTAGCATATACTTTCAATGTCAAAATGAGAGGAAAATGAATCAGATGTTTTAGCATATACACTCCAAAACAGTTCTGACACAACATACTTATATGTCTGAGGCTAACTCTTACTTTTAAACAAAGTCTAAGTAAAAAAATTTTTGGAAAAAAGCTGTCATTGGGAAGCTGAAAGGCAGATCTATACATTCTCTAAGATATACTTCAATTTAAAATAAAAATTTTTTAAACAGCATTGAAACATGGACTCATTCATATTTCTTACTAGATTACCTGTAGTTGTGTCCTCATTTTTGTCTAAATCTTCCTGCTCTGTGTCACTGACAGCAACAGAATCCAACTCCTCATGTTCTCTTACAATTTCATACTCGGGGAACAGAAATTTATGATCCGGAATTACATCTTCTATAAAACAACAAGTCAGTATCTTCATTTATTTTCTCCTAGATTTTATTATATTCATTTGTCAGAGGGTGGAGAAAAGGCAGAAATTTCTAACCCCCATTCTATATTTTCAATTGTATTGATTGTATACTGTACTTTAACTGTACAGATACAGCCTAAACAAACAAACAAAAATTCAAATGGAAATTTTCACATATCTATCCCATTCCCTCTCTCAGCTATTTTTTGTGCTTTCATTTACAGGCTCACTTGTATCCCAGGGAAGTTAATGAGAACAGGGAATAACTTGATTCTAGCATGTTTGTCAAGTTGCCATTGCTGGCATCTAATCTGTTCTCTAAAAATGTCAATCCTTTCCACCAAACTGTTTGTTTCTCAATTCTCTGAGTCCTGCTTTTAGGTCTCCTCCTCTCTGACATGACTGAATTGTCAGTCCACACCATGTTCAACAATCTCCTCTTCCTCTACTCAACATTCCTGCTCTTTTATTTGGTTAGAATTAGGAGATAGATGTTTTAATTAAGCGTGGTGTTTCTTGATGGTTGTGGGTGGTGGGAGGAAATCCTTTAACTCTGAGATCGTTGCGTTATTCCATATCCATCAGGGCAATTCTTCCTGACACAAATATGCCTTTGTACAAAAAATCTTAAAATCACTAGATAGCAATTGTGGATTACATTCAGAGCTGTGCTAAGCCAAATGCGGTTATTTGCCTTTGACATGGTAGATATGACCCTTGTACCTTAAACATGATTTCTGACCTAGAATGATATGTGAGCCAAGTCCAGAGAGCCAAATCAAGTAACCCTTAAAAAGCCCCATCATATACATATTTAATTCAACAATGGATTTATGTTTTTTTAAAATGAATATTCTTCCAAAAAGCTTCAAAGCAAACTACCATTTTGGCTAAACCTCCCAAATGAACAACCAAAGGGCATAATTGGGGCAGCAGCAAATAGGACCCTATAGCATGGCAGGGTCAACTGGAGTTAACAAAAATGCTATTTTTACTTTTTTTTTTAAATAAACATATTAAACAAAGCAATATTTATAAAACCACCAGCTAAGCCATTAGCTATGCATGTAGATTACTGGATTCCTTATTTTTCCACGAAGTCTTTTTTTTTAAAAAGAACACGATGCTTTTTCTAAGAAAGATACTACCAGAGAACATTAAAAGGACAATGCCATATAAAATTATTAATCACTTCCAATAATTTAGTACTACTAACAGAAAATAAACTCTCTTATAATTAGAGTGCTAATGCACACAAATCAAAGGACCATATCTTCCAACATACATTCTTATATTTATTATATTCTATAATATTTTGGTGCACTCTTACAGTTGAAGGGTATTTCTAACTACCTACCAGGCTGCAAACATGATACCTTATGTCCTGCTTTCCAATCTTTGATCTGATGGTCTTTGCTACAATAATGAGCCTTATGACACTTGGAACACGTGCTGGGTCCCAAGCAACCACAAACTCTGCAAAGCATAGCTCCGCATTTTAGTTGCAGGTTCACAGAATGTAACTCTTCCAAAGGTGGCTCTTCAGGTGGTGGATTATAAGAGTAAGTATCATTCTTTCTTGGAAGCTGATTCCTAAAAACTTAAAAAAGAAAAAAAATATATCTAACAGAAATAAGCACAACATACTACTCTTACGTAATTCTAGTTTAGTCTGCCCACAATGTGCCAAAACAATACATGGGAATGCCATGGAATTAATCTTTGTGCATTCTAAGCCAGTTTAATTCTTGAAGTCCCTATAGAAAAAAATGTCAAGAATATAGAATAATAGAATAGGCAGCATATAAATGAAATGTTTTGCCACACTAATAGTATATTTCATTCACTTTCTTGCTACACTTTTCCATAGTGCTTTGTGCTGCCCTGAAACTTCTCCCTGTCTCCTGTCTTCCTCTGATCAAAGCCAGAATCATCTTCAGTACATCCTTTTGGCAAGGCCATACAGAAGTCGAGATATGTAGCATGGCTAGTGAAAACCTGGAAAGAGCCAGCTGAATGAGGGAAGTTGTGCATTCTTTGAAGGGCTGGCCAAACTTTTTAGTAAACAATCCAGAGGAAACAGGTTGTGGATACTCCACTGCTTCAGAAAGCTTGGGCAGCTTGCAGACCATGTGATCATGTTCCTTTATGAAGTTGCTGCTAGGTGGCACTTCAACGAACTCCTTTAAAACTTTGCATAAACATATCAACTGCTCTTTTTTTGCCGTTTCTGATGTTCAGTATCTGAACCAAGACATACTTTCACACAATTATTTAAAGTATTTATATATTGGTATCTACAGTGTAGTTAGTACATGTTAGGAATGATAGTCACCTAACAGTTGGGTTGGGAATATGTAAACCAGGATAATCATTTAATACTGTTGTATCTTTAAGAGAATGTTGTAATTGTGATTGGCTGAGGTTCCTACAACGGCCATAAGATGGAGCCAGAAACCTGGTCTGCTCTCTTCTTGCATTTCCCTATTGCCTTTTGCCTGATCATCATTCTGCTTGGATTGCTGTGAGTCTTTCAAACTGTTAGCAAACTCCGTTTACTGAACTT